CCATGAGATTCAGGCAGATTTCTGGCTGCAAGTCCCAAGTTGAGCTTCCTGTCCTCCTGCAGAGTTGAACTCTGCAAGGCTGTACTGCAGGTTCCAGCTGTCTTTCCCATGAAGATAGTCCAGGTTCCAATGGGAGGTGATGATCCCTCCAACTTACCAAGAACAGTGGTCTGGTGTGCCTTTATTGCAGAGATTCTCTTCACTTTTCCAGTGGGCTTCAGTTTTCATCAAGTAGCCTGAGAGAGGGCCTCTCTCTGTTGTTCACTTCTGTAGCTCAGGACAATGGCCTTTATGTCCTTTATGCCCCGCTGTGCCTCTGCAGTGTGGAACCAGGTAGTGGCACAGCCAGAAGGCCAGAGGTGGCGGGGGGCAGGTGCCCGCGTGGCTAAGCTGTTTGCTGGTGGGCATGCTGAGGGGTCCTCACCATCTTGCTGGTCGCAGGTGGGTGCCACTTTAGACTTTTTGAGAGAGAAAGGTAATGTGCTTGCTTATTACCCTAAGTGCTAATATCTAATATACAGAGAACAGAATCCAAGAAGTGATTTGCCCATCAGAAACATAAATCCTGGCCATGCCTTGTCTTCAGCACTAAAGTCACCCACAAGCAGCAGATTAATAAGTCTTATCCAAGTTTCTACTTCCCTACTCAAGGAGCATGAATGTCACTAAACCAGGCAGGGTGACACGCACCCATGCATGTGTACAACAATGCACATCCCCACGCAGTCTGGACAGAAAGGAGCAAGACACAGCCTGTGCTGTGCGCCACAGGACAATGGCTCACCTTCGGTGGCAGTGGAGGAGACAGGAAGAGAAGGGTGTCTCTCTCAAGGGTAGTTTCCAACTAGGAGGACCTGACACTGTGGGAGGGGTCTCAGATCGAGCCCAGGGAGAGCTCTCATTCTCAGCCTTATCACCCAGCTAACTCAGGGGAAGCTCTGGGTCCTGAAGAAAAGTCAGTCCCACCTCAATAACCCCCAAACCTGAAATCCTACACGGCCTGTATTGCGTGACCGGAGGATGCCACCAGAAGGTGTGACAAACTGCGTAGCCATGCTAGCGTGAGTGGAGAAAGAACCTTGGCTGCCACCACTGTTAAGAGGACTGAAGAGTTCCAGAAACAACAGCTTAATAAGGAAAGGGAGCTCACTGCGTGATTTAACGCTTTTAAACAGACTTGCCTATTTAGAAATAGAAGGCCTCTGAATTATTAATCCAGTGAGGCAAATAATTATATCACACTGCAACCTGGCAGGGGTGTCATCTTGTCGTGACATCTGCTGCTCCAGGGCTTCTCTATTGTACAGAAAATTGAAGACGAGTCACCAAATGTAATTTCAACTTGGCTATGCATGTAGAGCCAAATCACGAAGCTAAAAGGCTGCATGTTTAATTCAGTTTCTTTTCTCAGCCCACTGTATTAGGAAGGAAAATCACAGTGCTCTAGGCTCTAACTGTAAAATATATCATCATCAGTACAGAAAAAGACAGTGGGAGACAGAGCACGTCAGCAGATGAATGAGGAAGACAGTAAAAAGTTAGAAGGCTCCCTGGGAGGCCCTGACAGGGTAGAAAAGCCTTGCAAAGTTTCGGAGCAGTCTCCTTCCTCATTCACATGCTATCCCCAAGCTCAGCCTCTCTAGGCACTCACTCCTGACACAGAACACTGCAACACATTCATATATGATGCTGATCCAGAGGGACAGCCTACGGTACCCAGTGGCCTTTCAGATGGCCCGGAAGTCACAGCACATGGGATTGTGTCCTGTAAACTGCTGTGGTGGTTAGCTCCGCTGTCAGCCTGAGAGGACGGAGAGACTCCTGCAGAGGGGACTGATGCTGGGGCCCTGAGCTCATTGGCCAGGCCCCTGGTGAGCCCACAGGGTGTCCACATGGACTGCGCTCTTAGGTGCGGCCTTGCTGGGAAGAGTGGGCGGTGACTCCCGACCTTGGGGATGCTATGTGGTCCCTGGCCCCTTTCTGTCTGACTCTGTCTAGCCTCATCTGCTCCTCAACTGCTCCAAGCTGAGCAGATTTCCTCCACCATACCCCCCGCCAGGCCTCCCCACAGGTCTCTATGCTGGAGCCAGTTGACTGCGGACCTCTGAAACTGTGAAACAAAACAAAACTCTCCTGCTTTGAGATGCAGGTGTCAGGTACCTTGTCCTAGCAAGGGGAAAGCTGACCAGCCCAGCTGTGCTCTGGCAACCACTGTGGCTGCAAAGCCCCTTCTGGGAACTTCTGGGGACCACGTGGGTCCCCCCATCCAGTCCTGCACTCAGCTGCTCTCACCTCCCACATGGCTCTCTCCTATAAAGCCGCATTGCCTGACTGCTACCCTGTCTATGCAGGACTCTTCTACTTACCACTTCCCGGACTGACCACTCGTCACTCGAACACCCAGCTCAGGGAGTCTTTCCTGTAAAGGGCGTGTTCAGCCAGGTAGAAGATGATATCCCCACACACTTGGCAAAAGGACAACTGTCTAAATAATTTTCTTTCCCTACCTAACTCCCTCCCTTCGTCCCCAAAGACTGCCACTTCACAGAGTATGTGGAATCCACTCCATTGTTCTCCTACAAATTTCCCTCACACAGATCTGTGCAGCAATGGATCCTTAAAAACAAAGTCAATAACGGAAGGAAAAGGCTACACAAACATACAGGGTTCTAATAATCTTAATAATTACAGTGAAGTATGTACATGAGTTACTGTCCTAAGTGTTTGTGCATTTATTATTTAATCTTTACAACAAGGCGTCTGTTAATTCATTCATTGAGCAAACATTTATTAAGCACCTCTGATGTGCCAGATTCCCTCCTCCGTGCTGAGAGCATAGCTCTGAATTAACATGCAAAACCTCCCTCTCACTAAAGCTTAGATGCTAGTGGTTGCAGGTAGACAATAAATAAATCAATAAGTAAATATTTAGCATGCCAGATGGTGATAAGTACTAAGAAGGAAAACGCAGACCAGCAGTGGAATGCGAAGCCCAGGTGGGCCCTAAATCCAATGACAAGTGACACTGTGAGAGAGGAGGAGCCCAAGTGAAGACAAGGGCAGATGGCAGTGATGCAGCTTCAAGGAATGCCAAGAGCCCCGGAGCTGGAAGAGACAGGGAGGATTTGCCCTGGAGCCTCCAGAGGGGCGCAGCCCTGACAGCGCCTTGATTTCGGGCTTCTGGCCTCCAGGACCGACCGGGAGGGTACAAATATCTGCTGTCTGAGACCACCCAGCTTGCAGCAAGGATGTGGCTTCCCAAGGAAAGGAAGACACAGAGGCTTTGGAAAGTGCTTAGTGTGGCAGAGTCTTGGGATGTTCCAACTGGCACCTGTATCCTGGCACCTGGACGACAGGGCATCCAGGTACTGATGGCGAACTGTGACTGAGGGCTCACCCTCCAAAACTTCAGGGTGTTGGGGCTAAGGGTTTAGTTCCTTGCATTTGCCTGGCAAACGTTCCAGCATTTGCTGGAAGTAGCCATCCCTTTTCTGAAACATGGGGTGCCGGGGATAGCTGTTGCTTAGTACAAGGACAGTTTCATGATCTGGCCAAGCAGATGACTACGCAGGATACAGCTGAAACTGTCACTCAGTTCCCTGAGAAGTATCACGTGGGCAGAAAGCATCATGTTTGCACCCAGCACCCTGTTTACTCACACCTCTGCCCGTCCTGAATGAGCAGCGAAATGAGGTATGAGACATCCATGCACAGGGAGGCAGGCCCCGGGCGACAGACCAGGTCAGCCCTATGCATTAGCAGATGCCATGACTGCTCCCCGCTCCCAGTGGGAGAGGCTCCTCAGGTCCTCTGCACACCAGCAGGTCAGCAGAGCACACCCAGGTCCCTGTGGCCAAGACCCCAGGAAACCCCTAGAGCATGGTCCTGAGGTGGGAATGCAGCCAGTTAAACAGCCTTTCAGGACAGCGTCATCCCCAGGGTGGACGTGTGTTGGAGAAAGGAATGCACAACCCCAGTCCCAGGGCCATTGCCACGGTGAGGAGCACTAAGTCAGCGTGGCTGGGGAGACGTGTACTGTCCGGTGTGTGTGAGTGTGGGCTTGTCTGGGTGTGTAACGACCTGAGCACAGGGTGTGGACGTGTGTGTGCCCTGTCCACAGGAAGCCCGTGTGTCACAGCTTCAGCAGAGCCCGGCTGGCCCAGTGCATCCCTCTCCCCTGCCGCTGCGCCCCGACATGCCCACAAGCCTTCCTGGGGACTCCGCACAGAGAAAAGCAGGGTGCCAAGCTCACCATGTTTTCAGGGGCCAAGAACCTTTCAAATTCTTTTAAAATACAAAGGAAAGAATAAACTTTTAGAATGAAAAAAGTATTTTACTACATATTAAGATATTTGTCTTTCTACCAGTACAGTAGTAAAAGTACAACTTTTTATGATTTTATGTCAGGAAGGCTGAAGTCCTAGAAGCCATGAAAGTCATCGTGCAGACTTGCAGGGCGCCTTCTAGAGGCAAAGGCCTTGGGACCGCAGCAAGAGTCCCTGCAACAGCAGCAGACCCTTGGCAATGTCTTGACTCATTGGGCAGATGCCCTCTGAGCTCTCTGACCAGAACCTGCCTTCTCCAAGAACGAGACACCAAGAGACCGCAGAAGGAGCTCACTCACGGGCTGGGAGCTAAGTTCCACCTGGGGCTGTACAGGGGCTTCTAGGAGTGGATCTTCTACTCGGTCAGAAACTGGCTTCCCGGTCGCTTGGCCTGTGCTTCTCCAGAGCAGGCCGGCAGGGACTGAGAATCTCTAACCCACTTACCTCCATAGAGAGCTCTCCGTCACGCTCCCCAGGTTGAAGTCGTACAGCTTCGTCAGGATCAGTATGACCTGCAGGGGGTGGGAGGAGGGCAGAGGAGAGGGGCAGGGGAGAGAGGAAGCTTACTTTAGTTTGTACAGCAGCGCACAGTGCATCTCATATCACCCAGAGGAGGGCTTAGTATTTATCCAGTGAATTGAGGGGTATTATAGGATCAAGCAGGGGGAAATTATTAATTTAATGCATCCCTATAACTAGCAGCATTTATTTGAATCCTGACAGTTCTTTGCATCTGAAATAAAACGCACCAACAGGAATGAACTGGGTATGGACAGTTGTTTCTCCACATCCAACCTCTCTCACAGTCAGGCCCAGGCCAGCTGGCATTGCTCACCACGGCCACCCCGAGATCAGAGGATGGCCTTGCCTTTGATCTCGAGATGACTGTGATGTTCAGAATTGGATCCAAAACAGGTAAGAAGGATCAAGGCCTACTTCTTCCTGCCTACAGAAGGGGTTCAAAGAGATTTTGTGTTTCCAGAAGTAGGGCCTTCTTCGCAGCCATAAATACTTGAATGGAAGTTGGTTCAGTCCCCAACATCCTCTGATGCCATCGGCCATGGGTCACGCGGCATTTTCTCCCACCATGCAATACGCAGGTCACTGGACTTCACTGTGTTCCAGGTAGAGTCAAGAAACCAAGAAGGAAGCAGCACGTGTCGGAGAGCTGTACCTCCCTCACCCAGAATCGAGTCAGTGGCACTCTGAGCTGGTCTGGGGCTGGTCGGTCTGGTCTCACGCCCTTCCCATCTCACCAGCTGGGGGACCCCTATATCAGACACTGCCCTGCCTACCCCTCATGTACGATGTAGGCGGACAGCGGCTTAGGCACAACCTCCTAGCTCCAAGAATACTAAGTACCTGCACCTGAATCAATTTTAATCAAAAGCAGGTGGGTAACAGACATCCACACATCGCTTGTCTGCACTCCTGATGATCCAGTTAACATAACTGTGTTTATCTAAATTTAATGCATAACTCATTTCACTTTTCTCAGCTCCTCCTGATTCCACAATTTAACTTTCTCCATTTCATTTACATAGCAGCCATTAAACTCTTTCCAAGATAATGAATTTCTGGTACCAAGATTAGACTTTCCCATTCTAGTTATCCATTAAAGATTAAAGAAAATAACCATTATACTGAACATTTTTATGGCACTTTAACAACAAAATGCTCGGTTTGAGATTTATTCTCATCCAGCACTCTAGGGGTCAATCAGCTACAATTCTATTTCTTCTATGTAAACCAAAAAAAAAAAAAAATTAAAAGGCAAGAAATGTGATCCATAACAGTTCAAAGGGAACTTGACAAAGTTGGTCTGGACCTGAACTTCTGGTAAAGCCATTACTGGGGGGCTCAGACTTCCTTCCAGACTGTGTCTTGGGACAGGAGCGTCAGGTGGACAGGAAACAACCTCAGTGGAATGGTTATTTGCAGGTAGGAGAATCTACCCAGGCACCTGTGGCATTACTACATTAACGACTGACTCTCCCACTTGTTGCTGGTTTCCTCCTTGTTAAAGTCCAGAGACTTATCCATGTCCTCCGGAACACTAGTGGCACATGAGATATACTGTTTAACTCATACACACACAGACCCACACACGTGTGCGTGCACACACACACATGCAACAGAACCATCACTTCATTTGAACTTCTTTTATCTACAGAGTCACCAGGTACAAGGCAAGGTATTCATGTGCAAACCACCCCCAATTCTGGGAGAAATAAGTTCAATCCTGTTAGGAATGAGTGGCAATGCCCACAGAGGGCTCCCCAGGAGCAAGTCAGATCACTTCAGGACCTCGAGCTCCAAAAAAGCACAAAGCCTAGGCAGAAAGCAGAGATGCTGAGGGTAAGAGTTCCACTTCAGGTGACAGCTTCTAATTAACAACTGGATCTGGAAAGTTCTTCTCACCCAAACTTAAAGAACCCTCCTTCTCTTCCTCCCTCCCTCTGTTTCTTCTCCTTCCCACCTTCCTGCTTCCCTCCCTCCCTTCCCTTCCTGTTCTCCCTTCGTGCTTCCCTCTCTCCCTCACTGGGAGTCATGCCTGGATCTCAGCTGAGCAGCATCCTAATCTCTCCAGTTCCTTCCCCCTTTGCTCTTGCAGGCATTTTTCGTAGCGAGTTTCTCAGACACCTGGATGTCTCCTTGTTGGAGAATGCAGACTAACATATGGCTCCAGACCTCGGTGAGTATGATTTCTGCCCTCATGACTGATCCGTGCACTTTCTTGGTCAGAAACTCTAAGGCTCCTCCCGCTGGGGGATGTGATCCAGACTGGAGACTGGCAGTGGAGGCCCCCCATGGTCTGGCCTAGCACTCTCCCCCCAGCATCTGTCCAGTTTCCAAAAGGCTGTCCTCAGCTTTAAGCGATCTGAATGTCTCAAGGTCCTGTGAGTTTGCCCAGCTCACTCTGCTTTCTTCTGTGCGTACAGTTGTCTCCTGCCTGTGCCATCCTTTCCCTGCCTCCTGTTCACTAGGAAACAGTCCAAAGCCCACCTGCTGCAGGAAGCCCCCTGAGACTAGCCCAACCGTTAGCTTTCTCTCCTCCAGTTTCTCCTCTTTCTTTCTCCCTCCTAATTTGTTTAAAACTGAGTCATATAAACAACCACTTCATCGGCCACCATCTCAGCAGCTTCTGGAAGTTACATGAGATGCCTTCTCACCCAGGTTCTGAACGACCCCAGGGTGTCATTTGGCACCTCCGTCCTCTTCACTGACAAGCTCAGCGCACCGAATACATTATTTTACAGAATAATCCCCTTTGGGCCAATGGAAGACAGCGATACCCTATCTGGTAACTCACAGATACGGCAGGAGATGGAAACAGCGAGTCTAATGTCCTCGTGTTAAAGATGAGGAAATGAAACAGAGCCCCAGACTGAGGGCAGGACCCATGGTATCCTCACTGTCTGGACTTGACCGAGCAACCCAGGGCAGCGCTCTTGCCTTGCCGTGAGTAAAGCTGGAGCCAGTCAGTGGCCTCCCACTGCAAGTCTGACTTGGTGGGCTCAGGCAGGCCTGGAAGTCTTCCTGCGGCAACCAGAGGAGCACATGTAGAAAAGACTCCATCATTCCTGCCTTGCTCCTATGCCATGCTGATGCCACCAGCTGTACCATGGTAAGATCCAGATCTAGCCAAGCACTCATGTTTAAATCGACTGTAACCTGATACAGAGAGCAGGCAGAGGAGGGGCACAAGGAGGGGCCTCCCAAAGTCACACCATCAAGGCCCCAAGGAAAGGTCAATGCTGAGCAGTAGGGCAGGGCGGAGGTTTCTTTTCCCCTGGAGCAAGCACACAAGGACGTTAATAGAGCCATGAAGAGATGATAAAGTAACTTTTAGGCTTAAGATACTCTGTACTGAGCAAACAAAACCAAGAGCAAAAGAAAGCCTGCCAGTCCCTGGCCTCTCTCACCACTCCCAGCCTTCCAAAGGCTACCAGGGAGGAAGGAATTAGCAGGGAAGAAAACTGAAACCAGACACAGTATACCCACCTAGCAAGGCCCAGGCTGCCAGGCAAGTAGCCAGATCAGAAAGAGCGGGTGTGGGTGTGCCCCGAACACCAGGGAGTGGGGTGGCAGGCACGGCGAGGGACAGGGGGCCTGGTCCCAGATCAGAGCCTGGCTCGACTCCCCTGCAGCTGATGCCCCAGGATGAGAGTGGCAGGCAAATTCAAATAAGGAAAAGCAAAAACCAAACATTGATTGAAGACCTACTATGTGCTAAATGCTACACTGGGTGATCACATCCTCCTGAAAAACCTTTGAGACCCAGCAGGTATTATGGGGCAACCAACCAGCAAGGGACGGAGCCAGCGTCCCCAGGCTCATCTGCTTCAGCCATGCTAGTTCTGCTCCTGCGCAATGCTCCTCCGTGCAGCCAGGGCTTCTGTGGGCTTGTGTGGAGTAACGGGCAGGAACATGGACAGGGACTGCTATGCCCTTGCCTTCAAGGAGTTTATCATTCAGTCACGAATTCCACAAGTATTCAACACTAAACTCCAGGAATCAGACAGACCCAGAGCTCAAGGCAGGAGATAATTGCGGCTTCCTTTGTTCTTCAAGAAGGAAACAGAGATATGTGGCGAGAAAAGCAGCAAACTGTTAGGAGATCCAAGTTTGTCAAATAAGCTTTGTGAAACAAGCAGCTCTTCAACCTGACCACAAGCCTGGAGGAGCTTCGCCAGCTGGAGAAGTGAAAACAAACTGGAATAATTCATGAGTAAATAGCACGTCTCCTTTCTCACCAGCCATATCCACACACGCACACACAGGAGCAAAGTCCATGTGTATACATATGAGTGTGTGCATCTAGATGTAGCCAGAAAAGCGCATGTGTATTCATGGAAATATTGATAGAAGCGTACAGAACATTATTTCAAAGTGGTGCCCGATGTCTCTACAGGAACTCTGTAGTTATTCGTGGCAGATACCTTGTATCAGACTAAGATGACCCTACCGAGTGCTTGTCCTCTTTGGGTGACTATGACCTCTCTGAGGTCAGAAACCAGGACTCATTCAACTCTGCATCCCCAATGTCGAGCGCAAAGCTCATGCGTGGCAGGTATTACACAAGGTCCTTTGGGTGAATTATAAATGCACGATGATAAAAAGGGGATGAGATGCTGAATGCATGAGAGAGCTATGGATGATGTGCTGTAAGAGTTGAGAAGAGGAAGCAATTAAGTCCAGAGAGGGTGATCGGCGAAGTGTTCATAACCCAGGGGAAGCCGTGGCAAGAAGCTGGATATCCTGAGGCGAGGCCTGCTCAGCTGCCCTGTGTCTCTTTCTTTCTTTTCAAACTGGCAGTGGCAGAGCAAGGGGAGAAGACTGCTTCTGGGGCAAGCAACAGCCCCGAGGCAGAGCTGCCTAGGCCCTGGAGGGGAGAAGCAGGCACAGGCTGGGTGCTGACCTGGAGCCGAGCTGTGGAGCAGGCACAGGAGGACGCGGGAAGAGCTGGTGTGCTCCACTGCAGACACCCACACTGCTGGCCGAGGGAGGC